TAGTAATATTCGGGGTAGCAGAAGCAGTGGTACTTATGGCAACATTACTTGTGAGCGGACGCTTCGTTCCAATTTCTGACGTCACTTTCATTCTCCGATATCTCTCCACCCAGACGAGTCAACCACTCTGATTATTGTAGCTTGTGCGACGTTTCCGTTTCCAGTGGTAGTAATAACAGTAGCAATCTTAGATGTTGGAGGAGTAATTCGCTTCTTCCTACTTAGATCAACAAAATATGTTAGCGGGCATTTGGTTCCAATCTCTGACGTCACTTTCAATCTCCGACCTCTTTCCACCCAGCTCGACTGCACTCGACGACAGACGAGCCAAAACCAACCTCTCCGTCTCTCCTGTAGCGCCGCGACCCGTACCGGTCGCTCCGGGTGTTCACGCACGTGACGGCACGCACAATGACGACGACGTGCCGACCGATCGCGGCCTCTCCCGTCTGCCTCTTCCGTCTGCCACTTTTTCAGCATAACTACGCGTTTATATAGATAAATCTGGCTGATCATAAATCGACCCTTGGCTCGCACGCGATTATCACGGGTGCTCCTTGCAACCCAAAATGATGTGAATTTCAAAGTTCCCCATAGCTTACTAAGCTCTATTTCAAATTTTGAGCGATAAAAATTATTCAGACCATTTTCCATTGTCTTTCTAATGACCCAATACCAAATGGGCTAGATCAGATTTCCCATCAGTAAACAAAATTTACTCTAATCTAATTTCGCTACTCCGATTCACTCCAATTTCAATTAAAAAAAATACGAGTGTGTGTGTCTGTTTCCCACACTTTCTTCTCCGTCACATAGAGAAATTGAGTATATGCATTGAAAAATTAAAAAAGAAACATTCTAGACTTCTGATTAAGGATGGCCCAATTTTGCTGCACAACAACACATGGCTGCACACTTCTCAATCAACTGCCAAAAAAATGCATAGCCTGAATTATGGAATTTTGTTTCATCCTCCATATTCACCTGATGTCCCTCCTACTGATTATCACTTATTTAAGCATTTTGAGCTTTTCCTACCCAGTAAAACATTCTCCAAGAAGGAAGAGGTAATCAAAGTATTGGAACTGTTTATCACATGAAAAAGGATGAGAACTTTTTTTAAAGATGGGATCAAGAATTTAGAGGTATGTTGGAGAACAGTCATTCATCAACATGGTGCCTATTTCAACTAAATAAATTAGTTACTTAACATTACAGAAGCATTTTATACACTTCCTATAAAGTGTTTCAATTCATGTGTGACAATCTAATATATAGGATTAGAAATTCACATTTAATTCACATTTAGAAATTCACATTTAAAATCAGTCCAAGTTATTGGAGAAAATTAAGCTAACAGTTTCAGTTCACTCCAGCAGTGCGTACCACAAACATCTAATAGATTCTGGATTATATAGATTATATTTTTGTATGGAACCCACTCAAAAATCTGGTGGAAAAATATTTGTGGACGAGAAAAATTACAGCTACCAGTATCCGATGAAACAAGAACATACTGGCGATGTGTAAAGCGAACTTGCAAAACTCTTAAACTGTCATGACATTTTAGACAAAAATAAACGTTTAATTTGTTTTTATTTCATTAATTTTATTCCTTTTTTAATAAATTATGATTACTTCCTATGCTTTTTTTTTTTTGAAATTTATGGTGATTACCTTTAAAAGCTTCAAAACATTATCAGAGGTAAGCAATTATCCAGGGACGCAAATGACCAGGGGGGCAATTGTCTGTTACGTAATTGTCCGGGGTGTAAATGTCTAAGGACGCAAGTGTCCTAGAGCCCAATTAATCATATCATACCTAACCTCTTTACTTACCTAAGATACATTGATGACGTCCTCTTATTTTAACCCCGGACTCTAATCTTTTAAATATCTCTATCTATAAAAGGCAGGATGTGTGTGTGTGTGTGTGTGTGTGTGTGTGTGTGTGTGTGTGTGTGTGTGTGTGTGTGTGTAACGAATGCACGGCCGGAATTTTCGACGGATTTGCACCAAAGTTTACATGCACATGCTCCAATTTAGCGCGAAGGCCAAGACCGACTTTGCATTTACCAACTTCCATCGATAGTGGAAATAATCGATTTTTACATGTTTCTACGGCAGTTTTCATGTAGTTTGCGGCCATTTTCTACTGGCCAGAGTAAGAGCCTATAGCTGGCTGCCACGAAGAGGCAGGAAGATTCTATTGGCGAGCGTGAGAGCCAACAGCTGACTGATACGAATGTTAACTAGCATGCTAACATGCAAAAAAATCGATAGCTGCATTTATCACAAGTGGGAAAAATTTATATCTGCATGGCACTTTACTCCAATTGGTTCATTCGCTTGCTTAAACTCAACGTTGATTCTGATTCCGCAGAACTGGGTTGGGTGTGAAAAAGTATTTGTTGTTAACATTCTTTTTTCATTCGGTTTTTCCAGTTACGAGTCCTTTTTTAAAGCTGATCGTTTTGTGTTCATTTTGTTTAGTTCTTTTTTCGTAACAGATTTAATGTTTAGTATAGAGCTTAGAAAAAATTCGCAGTGTGAGATAGGTAAGAAGTAAGACATCTAGCAACATCAGCACGGAAAAGGGCACTCCTTTAAAGGCAAGGAAGGACAAAAATATTTTAAGTCAAGTGATAGCGATTGCTGTATGAGTCGTACGATTTTTTAATCAAGCACGGGCAACGCCGGGCCATGCTACTAGTTATAGATAAATTTAATAAGGTTGAACATACCAAAACAATTTATGGCAATTTCCGTTAAAATCTTCAAAGCATTTTGAAAGTTACGCAATTATCCAGAGACACATTAGTCTATGGACGCAAATGTCCAGGGACGCAACTGTCCTAGAACAGATTCATTGATAAAGATACAGGATAACGGTCGATTACTTATCTCGTTCTAGAAAAAAACCAGAGCAAGATCTAACCCCCAAAATCGAATATTGAAGTCATATCAGTGATGGCTCTGCCCAATTCCCACTTTCTAGCTTTCCAGATTATAAAAGCGTTTACGCGGCCTTATGGGTGATGAACTATTTTCCATCCTACAGACCCTTTCCCCACAGACGAAACGGTGCAAACTACTCTGTCGCAATTTCCATGGAAAATATTCTGACCATCTATATTCCTTTGTTCTATTAGTTCAGACCTTCACAGACACGCCATCCCACCTACACAGGGTCCAATCACTGTCATCCACCCCGTACTTCATTGGTTCCGTTCAGAAAGCTTCTTCTAAAAAATCTGCTACTTTGTGGAAAATATTCCCGAGAGGGTGCTTTCCCGATCGCTAAAATCCTAACCTCGTGATCTCCTCTTACCTCTTCCTCTAACTTCGTGATCTCCTCCTTAGCAACACTTTCAGTAACGCTCTACCTTGAATGGCTCTTGAACCTTGTATTGAATGAACAATAGAAATATATATATATATATATATATATTTGAACTCGGTTCTCCGATTTCTCAATCCAAGCCGCTATCCATTATTCCACCGTGCTTCCTTAAATCCATTGCATTCACTTACGTGCTAATATCCTTGGAAAAGGTGTGACTCCTCTTCTCCCTCCAGCTATGGGTAAATAGCAGGACAGACTGGGTTCTATAGCCTTGGATGGCAACTGGTCTAGGAGAAGGACAACTCTGAATTCAAAACCTGCGGAGGGTCGTTTGGGAAGCTTGTGGCACTTAATGCACCAGGTCTCTGTATTCGGCCCTTCAAAAAGTGTGGATGGTCCTGAACGAAACCTTCACCACTATAATCAATTCTCAGGTGCTGTTGTCAGGCTGTCGGTTTCCTAGGAACTGATCTGCTTGATTCTCATACGTTGAATTCGACGAGAGAGAGTCGAGTAGATATATATATATATATATATATATATATATATATATATATATATATATATATATATATATATATATATACTCTTCAGTCATGATTCACTCATATTTTGATTTCTTCTTTCCGGCCGGGTGATCGCTAGTTGATTTGTTCGGAGGTAAAATGGTAACTTAAAAAATGGGATTTTTAAATGTTGGAGTGCACCCACCTTCTGACTGATAATGGACTGATCCCTCTACGATATAGGTCAGTACTAGAGAGATCAGGAAGAGGACTAGATCTGAGAGATCACGAGACCATTACATACCGTTGGACTTTAGACTCTTGCTAATTGTTACTTACTAACCTGCATTCGTTATTACTAATCACTCTGTTATTAAATACCTCTTCAAATATACCAGTATTTTTCCCTACATCTGTGTTTGTCTTTATTTGAATACACACACGCGGGAACACTCCCAACATCTCAACATTAAACATATCTATTTTATTAAACACGTCGATGTGTACATTTTTAACCAGCCAGTGGAGTCGCTGTGTCACCCCCTCTCACTGGGAAGAAAGTTCCCCGAGACACGAAATAACCACGTCTATTGTGTATGACGTGCAAAAATTTAACTACCTGAAAATATTTTCTAACATTCTCACGCTCGGCCCAGCTAATCAAAATCGACATCACAATTTTGTCTACCATCTGGCCTTAAAGGTCAGCCTCAGAAAGTCTGAGCCAAATACACGGCCACTGGAAATAATAGTTTGAAACTAGTATTTAACATATATGCTGATGTGTAATATATGAAAATATATGTATGCTGTGGCGTATTATATTGAAAATATGTCTGTGCGTAATATATGAAAAAATATATGCTGATGCGTATTATATAACGGTTAATACGGTATATAGTTGGTTAGAGAGAGAGAGAGAGAGAGAGAGAGAGGAGCGTCGTTGCTTATATATTAAAACTGTCGAAACAAATGCTTTTGTTGCTGCTTTTCAGTTACTGATTTTTGTTTTTTTTATCTACATTATCTTGTGTCCTTTTAGATGTGTTTGTAAAAGGAGAAGATATTGAAATGCACAGATCGGCACGTGTTTCAATCTATGAAACTTGTCAGCCATTGCATATTTCGGTACAAGAAAAATACACTCACTAAACCGAAATGCTAAAATGGAAGGAAGAGTGTAAAGGAACAAGAGAAAACGAAAGAAAGAAAGAAAGAAAGAAAGAAAGAAAGAATGAGAGACAGATGAAGAAAATGACGAATTCAAATACACTCAGTAAACCGAAATATTAAGAAGTATAAAGAAAGTAAAGGAACTAGAGAAAACGAAAGAGAAAGCGAAAGAAAGAAAGAAAGAAAAAAGAAAGAAAGAAAGTAACAGAGAACAGTAGAAAGAAAGAAAGAAAGAAAGAAAGAAAGAAAGAAAGAAAGAAAGAAAGAAAGAAAGAAGCTATCGGGCTCATAACGTCTGCTTCAGTGAAATAGAAATAAGGAGAGAAATAGTAAGAAACGGAAGGGAGTAGAAAGAAAGAAAGAAAGAAAGAAAGAAAGAAAGAAAGATTGAAAGTAACAGAGGACAGTGGAAAGAAAGAAAGGAAGAAAGAAAGAACGAAAGAAAGAAAGAAAGAAAGAAAGAAAGAAGGAAAGAAAGAAGCTATCGGGCTCATAACGTCTGCTTCAGTGAAATAGAAATAAGGAGAGAAATAGTAAGAAACGGAAGGGAGTAGAAAGAAAGAAAGAAAGAAAGAAAGAAAGAAAGAAAGAAAGAAAGATTGAAAGGGAAAAGAGGACAGTGGAAAGAAATAAGAAAGGAAGAAAGAAAGAAAGAAAGAAAGAAAGAAGGAAGGAAAGAAAGAAGCTATCGGACTCATAACGTCTGCTTCAGTGAAATAGAAATAAGGAGAGAAATAGTAAGAAACGGAAGGGAGTAGAAAGAAAGAAAGAAAGAAAGAAGTTATCGGTCTCATAACGTCTGCTTCAGGGAAATAGAAATAAGGAGATATAGTAAGAAACGGAAGAAAGAAAGAAAGAAAGAAAAGAAAAAGAAAAGAAACAGGACAGGGAAAAGAAAGAAAGAAAGAAAGAAAGAAAGAAAGAAAGAAAGAAAGAAGTTATCGGTCTCATAACGTCTGCTTCAGGGAAATAGAAATAAGGAGAGATATAGTAAGAAACGGAAGAAAGAAAGAAAGAAAGAAAGAAAGAAAGAAAGAAAGAAACAGAGGACAGGGAAAAGAAAGAAAGAAAGAAAGAAAGAAAGAAAGAAAGAAAGAAAGAAAGAAAGAAAGAAGTTATCGGTCTCATAACGTCTGCTTCAGGGAAATAGAAATAAGGAGAGATATAGTAAGAAAGAAAGAAAGAAAGAAAGAAAGAAAGAAAGAAAGAAACAGAGGACAGGGAAAAGAAAGAAAGAAAGAAAGAAAGAAAGAAAGAAAGAAAGAAAGAAAGAAAGAAATGCAGATAAGCAAAATGACGAATTCAAATATACTCACTAAACCGAAATGCTGAGAGAAATGAAGAATGTAAAGGAAATACAGAAAGCGAAAGAGAAAGAGGGAGAGAGAGAGAAAGAAAGAAATAGAAAGAGAAAGAAAGAATGAGATGCAGATACGCAAAAGCACAAATTCAAACACAATCACTAAACCGAAATGCTAAGAGAAATGAAGAAAGTAAAGAAAAAAAAAGACAAAGAGAAAGAGAGAGAGAAAGAAATAAAGAACGAGAAACAGATAAACAAAATTGACAATTCAAATCTATTTCTGAACGCACACAATTTTATCATATAGTTTTTTTTTTAAAAGAAATGTAAAAAAAAATAAAAATAAAATGATAAAATAATTCTATTAAGAATAAAGACAAGTTTTTATATTCCATTCAAAATATCGAACTCGAATTTTAACAGGCCAACATAAAATAAATATAATAATCATTTTAAAAAATTAAAAATAACGTTCATATATTGTTAGTTCAAAGTCGGGATAGTCTGCAATTATTAAGCTACACTAAAAGACTGTCGAGTTGTTTGTTATTTAAAAAATAAAATTAAAAAAAAAGCACATTTTTTTCTATTGTTGAAAAATAATATTTGATGTGGAAATCTGAAAATGATTCAATAAAGGCATAGTCAAACATTAATAAAATGAAAGTAATATTTTAAATGAAATTTTCCAGTTGACATGAATAAAAGTCTGAATTATCATTTCAAAAATTAATAAAAAAAAATATTTATAAATAAAACCTACTCTTAAAAGAGAGACTGCAATCGTAAAGAAAGACTTCGAGATGATTAACGGCAAGCATAAATATAGTGTAGAAGATAAGGAAATTAAACACGGAATAAACTGCGCTAGGTAGCGATTTTCCAAGCGTAGCTAAGATGTGGCACAAGGCTGAAAGTATGGGGCACCCAGTGAGGATCGAAGTCATTATTCATAACTGTTTTAGCGAGACAAGTTTGCTAAAGCCTTACACCACGCAGAGGTGACCAGACTGGGCTAGGTCTAGTTTCATCCAACACTGCATAATTGCTACAAAAACAAAAACATTAGCCTAAAAACACGAGTCATGTTCTCCAACAGTGTTGTCAGAAATATCAAAACTCTTCGCTATATAAAGATATAAACACGCTCTATGTCTTCCTAATATGGCGGGCCGGCTATATCCACTTTCCCAACGCCTATGACTTTTCTATAAACACTTTAATGGTAATTGTTCGGATGAGTTCTCCGCTATAGTAAATCAGTCGGTCAGTTCCGTGCCATGCGGGATACGGGCTTAGGCAATCATGCATCTTTCGATACATGACTGACGAGGCAGATTTTTCCCCGTAGTAGACTGCCATTTCTTTCTGCGGTAGACCAGTTGCTATCCAAGGCTATAGAACCCGATCTGTCCTGCTATTTACTCATAGCTGGTGTGAGATTATGAGGATTCATACTTTTCTTAAAGATATTAGCATGTAAGTGAATTTCAGTCAGTTATGTGCCATGCGTGATACACACTTAGGCGATCATGTATCTTTAGTTACATGACTGACGAGGCTGATTTTTCCCTGAGAGTTGGTTGCCATTTCTTTCTGCAGTAGACAAATTGCCATCCAAGGCTATAGAACCCGGTCTGTCCTGAGAGGAGAAGAAAAGGATTCATACCGTTCCCATAGGTCAGTCAGTTATGTGCCATGCGAGATACGCGCTTAGGCGATCGGGTATCTTTCGATACATGACTGACGAGGCAGATTTTCTCCCCCGCAGTAGGTTGCCATTTCTTTCTCCTGTAGACAAGTTGCCATCCAAGACCATAGAACCCGGTCTGTCCTGCTATTTACCCGTAGCTGGTGTGAGATTATGAGGATTCATACCTTTCCCAGGGGTATTAACACGTAAGTGAATGCAATGGATTCGACTGGAATTCGAACTCTGCTCTCCGATTCCTTAACCCGAGCCGCTATCCATTACTCCATCGCACGTAGTGCTTTTAATATAAGCACAACACTAGACTGGCGTCGCTTGATTTTAGTGCCCCTGACCTGTATCTCGTAGTAGTTCAGGACACTTTTTTTTGTTACAAACGAAATCCTTCTGTCTCGTAATACTCTGCCTACCTTTTGGAATGAGTCTTTGGCCATCCCAATACGTCTTCGGATCTCAGCGTCGCACTTACCGCCCTCTGTCAAAACACTTCTCAGATATTTAAATTTCCGCCCCTGCTTGATTTTAGTGTCACCGACCTGTATCTCGTAGTAGTTCAGGACTCTTTTCTGTTACCAACGAAATCCTTCTGTCTCGTAATAATCTGCCTAGCTTTTGCGTCTTTGGCCATCCCAATACGTCTTCGGATCTCAGTGTCGCTCTTGCCGTTCTCTGTCAAAACACTTGCCAGATATTTAAATTTCCGCCCCTTTGATTTTAGTGTCCCCGACCTGTATCTCGTAGTAGTTCAGGACTCTTTTCTTTGTTACCAACGAAATCCTTCTGTCTCGTAAGCTTTTTGGAATTCGTCTTTGGCCATCCCAATACGTCTTCGGATCTCAGTGTCGCTCTTTGCCGTTCTCTGTCAAAACACTTCCCAGATATTTAAATTTCCGCCCTGCTTGATTTTAGTGTCCCCGAGCTGTATCACGTAGTAGTTCAGGACTCTTTTCTTTGTCACCAACGAAATCCTTCTGTCTCGTAATACTCTGCCTAGCTTTTGAATGCGTCTTTGGCCATCCCAATACGTCTTCGGATCTCAGTGTCGCTCTTGCCGTCCTCTGTCAAAACACTTCCCAGATATTTAAATTTCCGCCCCTGCTTGATTTTAGTGTCCCCGGCCTGTATCTCGTAGTAGTTCAGGACTCTTTTCTTTGTTACCAACGAAATCCTTCTGTCTCGTAATATTCTGCCTAGCTTTTGGAATGCGTCTTTGGCCATCCCAATACGTCTACGGATCTCAGTGTCGCTCTTGCCGTCCTCTGTCAAAACACTTCCCAGATATTTAAATTTCCGCACCTGCTCAATTTTAGTGTACCCGACATCTAAATCGTTTTTCGGGCTCATCTTTTCGCTGGTGACCATATATGACCTATATCTAACTTTTACCTCAAGTATAAACACATCCTATGTCTACTGATAGACGAAACTATAGACACAGCGTATGTCTACATATACTCAAGTATATATATATATATATATATATATATATATATATATATATATATATATATATATATATATATATATATATATATTTGTGTGTGTGTGTGAGTAAAATGTGTATGTATATATATATATATATATAGATAGATAGATAGATAGATAGATAGATAGATAGATACTATGCACTTATTGTAAAGCGCTCAATATCAGTGATAGATCTAACATATTTAGTTGGATTGATGTGAGTTTGTGACCCTGGGTTTCACGCAATTGCGATCGTCAATTTGTCGGACGATCAGTATAAACACGAAATCTGTCTACCTATAGATTCGACTATAAACACTGCCTATGTTTACCTATAGTCTAAAGTATAACCACGCCCTAAATCTACCTATAGACACAAATATAAACATGCCCGATATTTGCCTGTATAATCAAGTATAAACACGCCATGCGCCTTGTGTCTACCGAAAGACTCAAGTATCAACACGATGACTGTAATTGGTTTGTTTTCTTTTACAGCATATTACCCTCAATGGTTTATTTAATGCCGACAAGATTTTTATTGCTGTTAATATTTTTCCTTCAAAAATGTATCGCTGGTAATATTTATTTTCTTCAAAAATGTATTGCTGGCAATGCATTGCTGGTAATACATTTCCTCAAAAATTCTTCTGCTAGCATTAAAACCTATTTTTTCAATTTCACAGTACTTTAACACCAGTTTGGGGGTTAACTATTTGCCCGTAGCTTGGGCCGCAACAGACGCTACCAACCCGGGCCAGGATGGATCTAGGAACACGAGCAGATATTAGATATGGTTCCACACTCCTCAAAACCTCCTGATCAGAGGCCTTGCTGTAGTTTATCGTCTTACCCAGAACGCGGATGTAGTTTATCGTCATACACAGGACAGGATAAATATAAAATAGCCCAAAATGAGTCTATATGCCATAAAGTTCCCTAACATTTTTAACCAACACATTTTTCCTCTGACTAGCTTCATCCGATGAAGATAATTTTATTTTCGCCGAAACAAACCCGAATATGAGGGAGTTGCTTTCTTTTATCTATTTGAGGGATGGATATGTTTATTATTGATATATTTATTGTTGATATGTTTGTATTATATTTACAATACGTTTTGTGCACACGTTTTGTTTTTCATTACTGTATACCTACTTTTGCATGCTCCTGTATATATCAAACCAAATTTATGAATAATTAATTTGGATATACTACCACATTCCTAACAAGAAGTCTCACGTTACATCTCTCTGACTATAGCTCAATTACGTCTCATTTAAACACACACAAAAACCTAACAAATTCCATCTATAACTTACTCGTAGAAGATACAAATATAATAGCCTTATCCACATGCAAAAAAGGCTAAAATAACAGAGGTATTATTAATGAATAATAAAAGCAACGCTCAAATAACATCAACAATGAACAGGGCTGCAATATGCTGAAAAAAAAACATTCCTATTAATCTAGATACATAAAATATAATACATTCAGTTATTTGCTTTGGTTTGATTTGTTTTACGCCATATTAACCTCAATGAGTTATTGAATGCCGACAAGATTATTATTGCTCGTAATATTTTCGTTCAAAAATGTATTGCCGGTTATTTTTTTTTCAAAATTCTATTGCTAGTAATTTATTTTTCAAAAATTTATTGCTGTTATAATTTTTTACAAAATGTATTGCTGGTATTACAATTGCACACTTTCATTGTGTTTTGATCATAGTTTGGGGTGGTTAACTATTTGCCCATAGCTGGGACCCTAACAGGTGCTACCACACCTGGTCAGGGTGGACCTGAGAACACCAGCAATTAAGAGGTGGCCTCACGCTCCTCAAAACCTCCTGAACAGAGGCCTTGCTGTTGGATGTAGTTTATCGTCTTACCCAGGACGCGGATTGTTATGGTGAAACACACCTATTCTATAGTTAATAGACTCTCCCACATAATATAAGTAGAAGTAGTAAGAGAAACGAAGGTGAGTCGATGTCGGACGACAGTTAGTCGAATACGAAAGGAGTCAGCGACCACAACAAGATTACTCTGCGTAATACCTATTATATCAAGTTCCTAAACGTTTTGTACGTCGAACTATATTAGAACCGATTTAGTACAAATACAAGCCTCCACTGCGAAAATACTCAGCAACACGGATGTAGTTTATCGTCTTACCCAGGACGCGGATGTAGTTTATCGTCATACCCAGGACGCGGATGTAGTTTATCGTCTTACCCAGGACACATATTTAGTTAAAAGCAAAAATAAAATCATCATTGATAATGGCTAAAAGGAAAGCCGAAAGCGATCGGATATAGAGAACATTTCTATATGGTGAATTTCTAAGCATAGCTTAGAAATGAGGCACTCAGTGAGGATCGTACTCACTACTCAGTCGTTATTGTTCTAATGAGACAAGCTGAGTAGCCATTACACCATTCAGTCTGGAAAAGTAAATATATATATATATATATAAGCGCAAAAGAAATATTAAATAAAAACAGCTTTGCCTTGACAAACGTTTTTAATGAAAATTGCATAAAGAAGGGATTGCGGCCAAATAACAGATACACAGACGGACCGCTTCGCTGTGTTATCGACGTGGTTAGACATGCGATTGCTTCAGGCCGGAATCGAA